CCAAAGTCATAATGGAGTGACCATGAAGAAAACTCCTTTCCTCAGTTTTGAAACAGGATACCAGGATACAGCATTTTATCAAGTGAGAAGGGTTCTATTGCCATATTTATGTAAGCAGTTAGGGAGACAGCGAAGGTGAAGGAAAGGTCTCATTTGATTGCTCCAAAACCTTTTGATTTTGGAACTATTTCATTAATTATGCTTTCCTGAGTGTGATTTTTTTTCTGTCTTACAGCTCTGAAAATTAATTACTTTAAAAACAAAATGAAGCATTAGAACTGAGACAGTGGCAGATTACTTTTATTCTCTACTGATTCAAACTACTTAAGTGTACTCATCCTATTCCTTCAGTTCTTGGTCTATACTTTGTAATGTACTCCTTTTCTTAAAAAAGCAAACCTCTTGTCAGTTAGTAATATTATCCTTCTTTTGCAAATGGGAAAACTAATGCATGGAAAAATAAAGACATCCAGTATCTAATCTTTTGCATCTGAATGACCTGCTAAGCCATGCAACTGTGGACCCTAGAGCAAATACGGAATTTTACACATTCCTAGAATTACGTTCTGGGCATGAATCTCCTGTCTGCTTCTTTCTAGAAGGAAAAACTTGCTCTCTGTACAAAAATGTGATCTATTCAAATATTTGCTGGTATATTTTATTTTGCCTCAAGGCCTTTGCTTGACGTGGTGCCACCAAAAAGGTTACAGTAGGATTTTTTTTTTCTGGCAGGTAATGCTACTGTAATCCAATTTGTAAAGATGTTAAAGGAAATCTTCAGAATTTGATTTATTTTTGCCCTCTGGCATTTTTTTGCATATTGCAGGGCTTGTAAGCCACTTGTTATCATTCCATTTCCATTTACACTAGCTTCATTTCACTGTTCTTTTTGTGGAAGGTGCTCTAATGCTACAATAAAGGGTGAACCTCTATACTTAGGGAGACATGAACGCATGAGATTTTTCACTAATTAACTGCTGGTCCATGAAGAGGAAAAAAAAAAAAAGAACTTTTCACAGACTTTTTCCTCTCTAACTTCCACTTAACATAGAGGCCTAAGGTGGTATTTGTGTTGCCATGTAGGTTTGAGGTTTGGGGAGGGGGAAGTGCTTTTTGCTTAATTTTTTCAAATGAAGAGCTTTGTACATTTTCCATTTTCAAATAGCTCAGAAGTGCAAGACATGAATATGATCTACAGCATTACGGATTTTAAATAAAATGCATCTTCATTTGTTTTTAAGTTGAATATTTTTTGTGAACAACCATGTTCATTGCTTTCATGTTCTTCCCACCCTTATGCAGAGCTCCATAAAGCCTTATGAAAAACCTAATGCAAGCTTCAAAACTGAAGCGAATAACTAAAACAGCAGAAACAGGTCACACTTTACAGCATGATGGATTATCTGACATAACTAAAATCGAAAGATGGGTGAAAGTGGCTTATCCATATGTGAGAGCAAACAGACATAACTCAGTTCATGTAAGTTTAAGCTGATTAATACAAACTTTTTCTAAACTTATATCTTTTAAACAGTTGGGCCAAGTGTGGGTGGAAAAGAGCAGCTGAGAAATCTATTACTGCTTTTGTTTTTAATAAGCAATCTTAAATCTTGCCTGTAATCTACTACTAACAATGATGTTATTACTTTTTATTATTATTAATCTAATTTTATTGCTATTAATGAGCTATTAGACGCCAGAAAGTAGGTGACAGGTTGGATTAAATAGTTCAGGCTAGAAGACCTGTTTGCGTCATTAGTAAAATAGAATTCAGTTTAAGTGAAATTACTAATTACTCAAATTGCCCTCTCACTTGCTTCTGTGTAATTTTACTTCCACTGAGTCCATCTGGATTCATACCAGTACAACTGAGATAGTCTGTCTTGGTCTAGCTATATCTGTGTGCTTACACATTCATATTTTATTTAGAGTGTCACTCAAGGAAGGAAAAAAGGAAGCCCAATGAAATATCTCCTTTTGCTATTATAGATCAGAAAAAAGAGATTTCTGTTACATTGAAAATATTTTAATGGTTGGCAGTTAGATGGCAGAAGTCTGTTCATGTAATTGTTAAACTAGAATATCTCATATTACTTAAAATGTCAGTTGCCTTTCTCAAGTACAAAGGATAATTAGCTTGATAGTATGTGTAATATTTTGCTTCTTTTATGAAAGAACATTGTTTCTATCACTCTGGCAGTAATACTTTATATTGCACTGCTTTATTCTTGTCCAGTTTTATCAAATATTATGAAATGTTATTTTTTCAATTTCATTTAGCGTACAGACAGGAACATTTATCATGTTCTACTTTGTTGTAATGTGTAGAAATCACTTCAAAATACACAATAGAGTGATGTGGAGACATAATAAACATCAGCATACTCATGTAGTAGTGCCTTGGCCTGGCAGCTCAATTAAATGACAGCCGTCAGTCTTACTGCCTTCCACACGTTTCAGACATACTCTGACTTTTTGTCTTTCCTGTTGTTTGAGCTATGTCAGAGACTGAGACTGAGAGAATAAGTGTTACTCCTCGGTGTTATGCAAGCCCTTTTCTCCTCAGCCTGAATTAAACAAGTAATGAGCCTAGTTGGGGCCATCATTTGTCAGTCAGTGCTGGAGAAGCAACTGTCTGTGACAAGCCCTGCTGTGGGGATATCACCAGAGCTAGTCCAGTCACTGGCACTGGCTCCTCAGCTTCTCCAGTGGATGGAGGCCCCTGTGAGCTGTGTGACCCCCTACTCAGTTCCTACTCAAGCCAAATTCACAGGAAGGACCAGGAAGTGTCCTCATTATCCTGTCATTAAAAAAAAAAAAAAAAGGAGACTGTATGTTAGAGGTATGTGAGAGACTTAATTCAAAAATCTGCTTCTTGCACATTCAGAACTAATAAGGAATTTCAGATTATAAAACCTAAATTCCAGAAAGAAGGGTACCCAGGTAAGAGATAAGTCTTTGTAAACCATAAGTTGGTAAAAGCACTTTCAAATGGAATAGTTTCAGTGCCTTTCTAGTGAAGGGCACACACTCTAACTGAGTCTAATTAGAAGAACTGAGAATCAGATGACCTTAATTAATCTAGTGAGGCTGCAGGGAGCAACTGAGGTGTCTTTTTGGGGGTGCCCTGAGCTGTAAGGGGAACCTGGTGGTAGAAGTCTTATGTGGATCTGATGAGGTGTTCCTAAAAGGAGCTTGTATTGGTTTTGCTATTTGTGTGATACCCGAGGTGAGTTTTAGGTAGTTTAAGCTTTTTAAATTGCTAATAATTAAGAAAATATGTCTAAAAGATTTTTTTTTAATACCTAAAGTTGAATATCTGAATATCTGAGCTTAAAGGGATTATGCTCTTGTAGCATTCTCTGCTCATACCTGGGAATAAGTGCTAGGTTTCTATGAACTAGTTTGTTCAGAGCATTGTTTTTTTTCCTTTACATCTTTAGTAATGGGTACTTATTATTAGCTATTGGCATTATTAGATACTTGAAACATGGAGAAATCTCTCACTTTTTTTTTTTAAATGTATCTAGGAAAACTTCCCATTAAGCCCAAGACTTTTTGCCTTTTGAAGACACTTCACTATGTTGTAGTTAGCAGTTGAGTTTTGTGCTATGGTGCAGTGTTTCTGGTGGACTAAAACAGCTGGCCTGAAACCCTGGCACTTAAGGGAAAGCCTGCTTTACTTTTTCATGTGTAATCCATTAGCATAATCTTTGTGGTACCACTTGCCTGTAGGTTTGTATGTGTTTTCTGTGGCATGATGAATTTTATCCAGAATGAGCATCTGGGTCTCCTCTACACTCCAATATATCTAAATTTTGAAAAACTATGATGGTAGAGAGCACTTCCTTTTGTAGAGTGGTTAATGCCATGTCCCACCTTATGACAAAATAAGAGAATTACTGTAATTTGCTTACAGTTAAATCATATTTTTTAATTTATCTGTGAGTTGCCAGAAATAAAGGCTAAATTATTATTATTATTTTCTATCTTTCTATTATTAATATTGGTTAATAGCTTTTTGTTAGTATTTGGTTAGTATTCACCTTGTGATTAATATCTTCTGTAAATCGTATCTGATAGCTAATTTCAGACAGGAATTTCTTGTCTTTGTCTGGTTGTTACTTCTGAGAATGTTCATACACTTCCAGAAGTTCTTCCTAGAAAGAAAGGTCTTAAACTTATAGATCAATCTCTAATTATAACAAGGTGTCTTCATTAGCTTCAGTGGTCTAACCTGAGAAAAGAATGAACTTCTGTGGGTGCAGGGTCCTCTCTTTGTAACATCTGGACTCTTAAATGTGCCAAGAAAATCTGAATCTGAATAATAAGAATAATACACTGGATTTTTATCTGCTGTCTATTATGTGTTTGGAAAATAAAGTGAATTTTTATTTATTTTTTATTAGAAGACCTGGGTGCTTCTAACATAGTTTGGCTGTCTGAATTATTTCTGAAAACACCTTTTCCAAGTAATTTTTGAATAACCCACAAAAAAACATGAAACAAACAAAACACTTCTACACACATGTGTGCCTAACTATGTGTTTGTGACTGTCTTTGAAACCTTTCTTAAAGAAGGGAAAGACATGAAGGATCAGAAAGTACATGAATTAATAATAGAATGGGTGGAAAAGAGAAGGAGTAAGAGGCTGACAAGTGTACAGAAGGTGAAAAGTTAAGTCAAAGAGTTAATTGGCACATAGGAGGCAATGTTGATTAAAAATAATTGGGGAAACCTTTTTGCTGGCTTATGTTTTCGAGTAGCTAGATATGATTGGTATCTTGCAGTGACTGTTTAGAAGCTACATCAATGGTCAAAATGTGGCATTAGGTAATATTATGTAAACATGATTAAAATATATGAAAGCATGACATTACATGCTTTCCAGTGTGAGGAGGAAGATGAGCAAGTTCATATCTTCTTTGTAGGCTATAATTAGCTTTCAGCTTTACTCTGTTTATTTTAAATGTTATAATTTTGCCTTTTTATTACACAGGTTGTCTGGATTTCAGCTTCCATCATCTATCGTGAGCACAGGTTCTATCCTCACCCTCTGTTTCACCACAGACTTTGCTGTCAGCGCTCAAGGATTCAAAGCTATCTATGAAGGTAAAACTTTTTCCCCCTAGTCTCTAACTCTTTATTTTTCTTTTCATGTCCTTCGTGTTCAAACATTGTATTTCAATTTCTTTTATTTGGGGTTTGAATCAGTGATGAATGTTATAAAATATTTTTGTTTTCTTGTGTACTTGACTTTATCAGTGAGTTTAATTAAATTTAATTTCAAATTTGAAACTATGACTAACACTTCAGTTTTTGTGGGATTTTTTAATAGTTTTTGACAATTTCTAAAATTGTTTTAAGTAATGCTTTATTTTAAAAAGGTTTCAAAGTGTTTATCAAATCTATTTTGATGACTTTTTTGGGCCATGATTGATTGAAGGAGTATAATGGTAAAGATGAGAGGCTATATACATGCTAACTGGTCTTGAACATCACCTAGTAATGTTTTCTTTGTGGAAAATTAAAAATGCTTTCAAAGGCAAAAAGAAAAATGAAAAAGGTTTTGAGCTGTCTTTCTTTTTTTTCTACTTCCTCCTTCTTCCTCTATTTTATGAAAGTTTTTAGAATACAATAAGTACAAACAAGTTTATTTGGAGAGATGGAGGAAGGGCCAAGCATATGCTGTGTTTTGGTGTTTAATGAAATTTAGGCGCATAAACTGGGTTGATGTGAATTCCATAATACCTTGGGCAGAAGGCCTCATGAGAGCTTTCAAGCAAAGGTTGCAGATAGCAGATATAGTAGCATTAAGTCGGTTGCTTACCGTTCTTGAATGATTAGGGTGTTTTAAATGTAGCTGGAGGGTTGCATTCAAACATCATGAATATTAGTCTGATATGTGTGTGTGTATATATAAATGGAAAATGCAAGGCTCTAGGGCAGTTGAAGCTGCAGAAAGCTCAGTATCAGATGTTTCTCAAATGTAAAGCCAGTCTTTCTATGATTTCATAGTTTTAATCCTTTGATGGAAGAGTATATTCTTGAAGAGTTGGTATGACCAGTTACCTAGGAGAATGAATAACATTTTTTAATAGAATGGATTGATGCAGAAAGTACTGTAATCTGATTGTAGTTGTTTGCTCTGACTTGCATCTTCAAGTTTGTAAATCCGTTACCTTTGATCTCTAAGTTATTCTGGAATTGGGACTGTCCATTGTCTCTTGAAACTTAGTCTGTCCTTCTTGACAGCACCTTCTTCTCCATATTGATACATATCTTTATTGCAGATTATGTTAATATTTTGAGATTAGTGTTTTTGGAGCTCTTTGGAGGAGGAAAGAGAAGAAGGTGGGGGGAATACCATTGTTCGCTGAAATACCTAGGTGCAAGGAGGGACAGAGGACTGTTACTTCCAAATTATTTTTTCTGACCTCTTCTGATGGAGGTAGCTCTCAGTATGTATTTGCCTGGGAGACATTCTGCTTTTCCTCTTTCCACAAAACTTACTGATAGAATAACAGGTTTGGGGATTTTATTTGATTGAAATAAGGAGTGAGGGGTAAGGCTAACAAAGTTGTGTTTAATAGCCCATACCTATATTAGGGAAGTTGAGTAGGAATGCAGGACATCAGGGAAGTGTTAGGGTAGGTTTCATGGGAAACTGCACTCTGCATTTCTGTATCTTTCTCCTTCAGCGGTTGTGTACAATGGTGTGTTTAATCCTCTCTATGAAGATGAGCAGTCCCTTTTTCATATGGAAAAAGACAGTGAGGAGAGCTAAAGGACGTCTCTTGACTGTCAACTTAAGAAGGCATGCACAGAGCCACAGGCTGCACTATCATGACACTTCCTGCTGGCCTACTTTCGAGTAGGTCTCCGGCACCACGAACTGTAATTAACCGTGACAGATAGCCCTGCGCGCTCGTTAAACAACACTGCCCCCTTCCAAAGCCAGTGCTCGAGACCTCGCTTTGAAACTCGCGTGTCCGTGAGCTTTAAATTGACTTGAAAATATGTGACATCCAGCTCTGGAAGAAATGGTGGATGTCACCGAAGCGACAGCGTCCAAGCATTTGATGAAACGGTGGGATACTGATGTTTCAGGACGTTTTCTTCATAGCACTTAGGGCTTCTGGGGTTTTCGAGAGATCCAGGGTGATTTCTGTGTCAAACTAGTGATTGCTCTAAAGGCCAGCTGAGTTACTGCAAACACATAGGGTAGCAATTTCTTTATCTTTTTTATTTCAATAACGACCCATTTTGGCTTTTATGCTGTATGTGATTTTCATGAATCAGCAGATGATCACTTCCCTTGGGGAGGGAATACAGAACAACTGTTACTGCTGACTGCAAATCCTTATAATTGCTATAATCACATTATAATCATCAGCTGCCTATCCTTCAGCTAGCTTACTTTCATTAAAGTAGCTAGTAACTAGTTGTCCCTGTGTGTAGGCAACTCTTTGGTTCCCTCCTTCCCTAGGTGAGTTACTGCTGTGGTAGAAGTGTGGGGAGCAGGGTGCTACCTGCTGCCGTCCCAGCTTTTTGGTCACCATGGGGTCAAAACGTGCAGTTTGAGGAAATGCTGCTTTGCACATCTTGACTAGAAGCAGTCTTCAATTGCACATCAGCTAGCAAGAGTGATGTGTACCCAAAAAAAACCCCCAAAACACCTAGTTATTAAATAGTACCTAGGGACGGGTTCTATAACGAATTATTTATACAGGGTAGAAAAGTGCACAACACTTAATGGTAAAAGTACTGCCACAGTCTTGGAACAGGGGAGGAAAAAAAGCTTAGCATCACTCTGCAAAAGAATCATCTGGAATTGTCTTGCGGTGGTGGATGAGGCATATCCGAAAAACTCAAATATTAGGAGCATTGAAATAAATGATTTGCATAAAATTCACATAATCTGGGAGGCTGTAAAACTTTATTTTATTTTTTAAAATTTTCATTCTTGTAATAAGCCAGTCTTTCCTCTGAATAGGAAAAAAGTTCATCTGAATTAGGAGGCAATTTCATGCAATTAAAAATAATACAATTGATAAAGTGCAAAGCCTTGAAACTTAGGTCTATTGAAATTCAGTACTTTAAATGAGATCATGTTGAGGGAGCAGGATAGCAGTGATGTATCTCCCGACAGACTTGTTCTGGGCTGGATCCCTGGCTGCACTGAGTTTCCACTCCTTGCACCGGAGGAGTTGATCCTGGGAGACTTCCCTCATCCTCTGTCCCTCGTGCTGCTTTTATTTTACACCCTGGGAACAACTGTGGCTGGTTCTGCTGTGCATCCGACACACACAGACCTCTGATCCAGGGAAAGTGGCAAGCAATCCATTCCCAAGGCTGAGATTCTGGTGGATGCATTTCGGTATCTATAGTCTTTCATATATGACCTCACTTCTGACATATAACTTCGCATCCTGTACTGCCATGAAGTAATTGGATCTTGTTGCCCTTGCAATGTGTAAATTCCTTAGCAATGAAGTTGATGAAACCAAGTAGTCGTGTTCCTCGCGCTTGAAGATTATTCACATCTATTTGGTTTTGGCTACTGTCATCCATATACTGCATAAATATTCATCCGACTCTGCTGCAGTGAACTGGTGGGAGGCATCTGTCAACGTGAACGAGATATTGCTATAGTTGCACAATTGCTTGTTTTCTGGGCTGCTGCATATATTTTTTACTTTATCATTACTTAGCCAGGTTTATATATCCATTTGATAATGTTAAATATTTTTAACTGTAGCTCTGGAGATACTTCATTCTTCCTCAGTGGTCACATCAGCTCTCAACTTTTGTTATAGATGAAAGTTTGAATTCTTATTTTTGGTCAATAATATTAATCTAGGGGCGTTTCAAACATTACATCCGTGTGTGTTTCTGTGTGCCTTTTTTTTTTTTTTTTTAAGTAATACATTCAGTTTATAGGACTGATCTTTAACTTGTTAAATCACTTAGCAGAATAAATTGTCTTTATTATTGCTGTTGTTAGGTTGCAGGTTGGAGGATGATTTCTGTTTCTCTAATGTTTCTAATGGCAGTGCTTTACATTATACCATCTTTAAACAATGTCAAGGGATTGCATTGGGGAAGGAGGGGAATAATTACAATATTGTATGTTTAACCCCCTGTTAAAATCTATTCTAAAATGTATTCGAATCACATTTTTGGGGATTAACTCATTCTAAAAGGGGCTCTGAGGACTACAAAGATTAAAAAAAAATTGTAATGTTGTATTATTATATTTTCCTTATGAAAGTTGGACATTGATCCCAAACACTTGCATACAGCTGACAACACTTAAAGCAATTTTAAATGATGGCAATATCTGAAGCATTGTATACATGGATACTTATTTTCAGTGATGTATGATAAAATTGCTAGGATTTTTGTTTTTACTGAGCTCATGTTTTCTGCTATGCACTGGTTCAGGGAATCTGATTTTGTCAAGTGCACAAAGTTCAATAAAAATAGGAGAAATATAACTTTAAATTACTCATCATCATAAGAGTTTTTTTTTTTTTCTTTTCCAGTTTGCTACGTTGGCTGCCACTAACCAATAAACCCTAGAAACTTCAAATTAACCAGAGATTGTTAGCCTTGCTTTATTTTATTTTCATACTTGTTTTATTCCAAATACATTTTATTATATAGTATTGGTAGACAGTCTTTAAACATGGAGACAGAAGTACTAAACTTCATATATGCAAGCACTTCTTTACCTTCATCCTACACCAGCAGGATTTCTTTGCAAAAGAAAGAGCTTTTGCACATCCCTCTACTGCCTACTCACCCTCAGGGCATACTTCCCTTTTTCTTTTTGCCTTTGAATTCTCAAAGGTTTCTACTCACACCCAGCATTAACATTTATACAGACAGTCACCTCATTATGCCTTATGCATCTTTCCTGCAGCTTCTTTTTAAATTCCTTTCAGCATCAGGAGCAGAAGGTGGTGGCACACTTCCACAATGTAAAGTCTTTGAAGACTTTTTTTTTTTTTTTTTTGAATCCCACTTTCCCATTGCTGAGTGTTATTTGGTGTGTGTGGTGTGGTTCTTTTTTTCTTTCTTTTCCTTTTTTCTATGGTTAAAACAAT